ACACAGACTCATGGGGACTCGTGTCATGGTGGGGACCTAAATTGAGGTCCCCATGGGTAAACAAGCTAATAAATCCAAACAAAATGGGGTTTTTGGAAATCTAAAAATGCACAATAGTTTCCTGTAAGGGGTAGGTTTAGGGGTAGGGTTGGTGTAGAGTAATAGAATATACGGTCTGTACAGTATAAAAACCATTACGCCTATGGAGAGTCCCCACAAGGATAGCTGACTGTGTGTGTGAGTGAGTGTGAGTGAGTCTGAGTGAGTGTGTGTGTGAGTCTGAGTGTGTGTGTCTGTGTGTGAGTCTGAGTGAGTGTGTCTGTGTGTGTGTGTGAGTGTGTGTGAGTCTGAGTGAGTGTGTGTGTGTGTGTGAGAGAGTCTGAGTGAGTGTGTGTGTTTGTGTGTGAAACACTGACCGGAGCTTCAAACTCTCTGAAAGTTTCTCTGCCTCCTCGATGGCCTTTTTAAAGCTGGTTGGTCCGAGCATAGACAGGAAGAAATCCTGAAAGCCATCAAACGACAGCATATCACATTTCAGGACATCGACACGTTCACAACATCTGAGCGAAGACTTGAGCGTTTACACCATCAGCCGAATAATCATACAAATATGTGACCACAAAACCATAAAGGTTAGTTTTTTTAATTGAGAAGCTTTCTATTGATGTATGGTTTGTTAAGATAGGACAATATTTGGCTGAGATACAACTAGTTGAAAATCTGGAATCTGAGGGTGCAAAAAAATCTAAATATTGAGAAAATCATCTTTAAAGTTGTCCAAATGAAGTTCTTAGCAATGCATATTACTAATCAAAAATTAAGTTTTGATATATTTACGGTAGGAAACTTACAAAATATCTTCATGGAACATGATCTTTACTTAATATCCTAATGATTTTTGGCATAAAAGAAAAATTTATAATTTTGACCCATACAATGTATTGTTGGCTATTGCTACAAATATACCTGTGCTGCTTATGACTGCTTTTGTGCTCCAGGCTCACATATATGTGTATAATACACACTGATCTCATCCTCAGTGTCACGTCTCCACCATTAAAATCTCCCACAATGCACTAGGGCTGTACCTGCTGCTGCTTGAAGTCCGGTCTCTTCTTGATGAGGTCATAGACCGACAGGTACTTCATGTACAGCACATAAGCTTTCTCCTCGTCGCGGTCCAGACGACACTCCTCCGCCGCCTTGAAGATCTTGCACGCGCTCTGGACGTAGCTGAAACACACAAACATCAGCGTTGAGTGCAGACCGTTGCTGCTTCTACTTATGAGAAATCTGTCGCCACAAATGTGCTTGTGCTTGAGATTCACGTGTTCACACGTACTGTCTGGTGCTGGTTTTATCTGGTTTGATGTCTGCTTTCTTGTTCAGATCGCTCAGTGATGAGGACAGATACAGATCCTTCACTCCAGTGGACACAGACGGCATTTCAGCTCATATTCCTGCAAACATCCCAAATCAGACTCAAAACATCAGAGTAATCCGATCAATGACAGAATAATTACACTAACAACAGACAGTGCTGGGAACGTTACGTAACAGGTTACAAGTTACTCTATTTAAAATGTAACGGTGGTGTAGCTATTTCAGTTACTGTATTAAAGTAACGTAACGGATTACATTTGATTACTTTTCAAATGTTTCTAAGCACAGCCAGCACAAAATCAGACTTTAGCACCTCTTCTTACTTTGAGACCATTTTTTCTCAGTAACTGATTACAGTTACATTTATTTTCAGTAACACTTTATTTTAAGGTGTCCTTGTTACAAGTTACATGTACTTACTATTATAATAACAATATATTATGCATAATTACATGCAAGTAACCCTGAACCAAACCCTAACCATACAGTACGTACATGTAGTTAATATTGCTCAGTACTTAAAATATATAATTACACTGTAACACGGACACCTTAAAATAAAGTGTAACCGCTTTTCGAACTAAATGACGTAACGTCGTTACATGTAACTAGTTACTCCCCAGCACTGAAACCGAGTAAACAAGCCTCAAATCAAACAATCGGATCAATGCTGAGATCAGAAGACTGATGACACTCAGAAGTACAGTAAACGCATATCTGGCTGTTAGTGATCATCGGCGGTATCGCAGTGAAGCGTGTGAGCTCACCCTGAACTCGAACCCTGTCGGAGAACACGCTGGGGTCCGCAGATCAGCGCAGATCACTGGAGTTAGTCCGCACTGATGACCGTAAACAGCCTCGGACCGCTCGAGCAAACGCGGAAGTGCGCGGACTCAAACCCCGGATGCTTTATTTAAACGCGCAACTTTAAAGCGCTTGACAAAAGACGCGTTTATTATAAATGTTTATATGTTCACACATAAATCAGCTCTGTGTGTTTAAACTCATTCTTGCGTCATTGAACACTGGTTTCTGCCAGCATTGTTCGACACGTTTATATTTAGTGTGTGCACTGCTGTATTATTGATAAGGTCTCATAAACTAAATATGAGTGATGATGATGATGATGATGATGATGAGACTCGACCGGAAATGAGAAGATACAATGTTGCGTCTCCTGCGCTTGAGTCAGTGCGCATGCGCTCCGCAGACACTCCGCTTTACAAGAGTTTAACGAAATCACCATACAATATACACTGCACAAAATGAGTAATAATATGAAACAGCCACAGCTGCAGCAGAGGGTGGAGGTGTTTCTCGATCGTTTCATTCTCTTGATACTGGAGCCTGTGTGCGCGCCCCCGCGCTCGTGCCCGCGGCTGTATTATTGTTTCGTTTCTAACGGATTCGGTTCGGTTCCGGTTCTGTTCTCACGGTAAGACACTACATTCCGCGCGATCGCGTCCGCCGGATGTGGAAGTTGATGAGTTTGTGGGGATTAATATTTCCTCTTCCTCCGGAACACGAGCGATTTCCTGTTTATTGCTTTTAACGCCGCAGCTTCACATCAGCGACGAAGATGAAGAAGATGATGATGATGATGTTTTAGGCCTGAGATGAAGCGCTGCTTCTCATATAAACATTTATTATAGCGTTGGATATCGCGTTTGTTCGCCGCTTTAAAAAAAACACAACAATAGAAAGCATCAGTGCTGATTACATCCACAGATGAAGAGCTGCAGGATTTCAGATTTATCAGCTTAGTTTTGTGAAATTAAGTGTTTTTTATGCTAGAAGTTGGTTTCCAGGATGGCGTTGTTACAGTGCTTGTCCGTTTTGGGCTGCGACTAGTTACAGTAATAACATGTGACTGCAGCACAAAACCAGTCATGAGGGTCAATTTTGTGAAATTGAGATGTATACATCATCTGGAAGCTGAATAGATAATCTTTCCATTGATGTATGGTTTGTTAGGATAGGACAATATTTGAAAATCTGGAATCTGAGGGTGCAAAAAAATCTAAATATTGAGAAAATCATCTTTAAAGTTGTCCAAATGAAGTTCTTAGCAATGCATATTACTAATCAAAAATTAAGTTTTGATATATTTACGGTAGGAAACTTACAAAATATCTTCATGGAACATGATCTTTACTTAATATTCTAATGATTTTTGGCATAAAAGAGAAATGTATAATTTTGACCCATACAATGTATTGTTGTCTATTGCTACAAATATACCCCAGCGACTTAAGACTGCAATCCAGGCTAAAGTCTCAGAATCTCATTATGAGATAACAAGCATCAAAGTTTAATTTCAACCATTAATTTCACTATGATTTCAATCTTACTCAGTCAATATTAAAGATATCAAGGTTACATTTTCACAGAATGTTCTTTAGGGTGGTTTTATGTAGAAAACACTACATAAATGACTGTAGCTGGGTTTATATATTACTTTTTGCCTCAACTAGTAGTGTAACTAATTACTAATAAGATTTGAGTAATAATAATGGCATTACTTGGCTACCCACATCCCTCTGATCACGATATAGATTGTATTAAATCCTTTTAGAGAATGAAACATTTTCTTATGAACTGTGATTTCTTTTGATACATCATGAAATATAGTAGTATACGGATAACAGAGACATTATAGCTACAATTAACTTCAAGCTACACATGATTAATGCAACACTTTTACTTAAACATCACTATTAATCACCACTGAGTGTTTGTAATCACTTCTGACTGCGATCCAGTGGGGATTTTGGTCAAATGATGAGGCAGAAATATATTGTTAGTAACATCGTAGATTAATTTTATGAGGAAGATATGCAGCTTATGTGGGAACTAATGTAATTAGTATTGTAACTATTAACTACTGTTGCCAGAAAGTAATAATATTACTTTTGAAAGGAGTAACAAGTAATATATTACATTTCTTGTGTAACGAGCCCAACACTGGTGGTTGTTCCATTAATCTGTTAATTTTATGAGGAAGATATGTAGCTTATGTGGGAACTAATGTAATTAGTATTGTAACTATTAACTACTGTTGCCAGAAAGTAATAAGTAAAGTAATAATATTACTTTTGAAAGGAGTAACAAGTAATATATTACATTTCTTGTGTAACGAGCCCAACACTGGTGGTTGTTCCATTAATCTGTGGTATTTGTGGTAAAACCTGGTAACTGTTAGTAAAATAATATCTCCTCAATACATCAGTGAAACTATGATTGATTTAAAACATTAAGAAATGATAAATATTGCTAAAAACTACTGCTAAAGATTTGACTTGATAAGCGTATTATATTTCCTATAAGAGACTACTACAGTAAAACCATGGTAAACTATCATACAGACAACACGTGACAGTTCTTTGGTATTTTAATGGAGCATTAACCACATTAGAGACATGAAACTATGATTGATTTAAAACATTAAGAAATGATCAATATTGCTAAAAACTACTGCTAAAGATAGTTGACTTGATAAGCGTATTATATTTCCTATAAGAGACTACTACAGTAAAACCATGGTAAACTATCATACAGACAACACGTGACAGTTCTTTGGTATTTTAATGGAGCATTAACCACATTAGAGACATGATGACACACAAAATAGCTTTCTATGAGACGGACATGCATGCACTTGAAAAAAAAAAAAATATATATATATATATGATATTCTAAATAAATATGAAAGCCGAATTAAATCAAGATACATTTTCTTGAGATGCAAATGTTGAATGAAGTCTTGAAAAATGTAACAAAATTTAGTGAGTTTATGCTTAAATGCTTAAAACATGAATAAAAGGAGAATAATAATTTGTTTTACCTTTGAATTAAGATTTGTTTTAGCCTTTTGACAGATATTTGTTGTTGTTTTAATCATAAACTCATTTCATTTTGATACATTTCTCAGAAAACAAGACTTCTTATTTTAAGTCATTTTCCTTCTCCAGTAAATGTATCTTTATTTAAAAAATCTTTAGTCGTTTGCAGGGGAAAACAAGACAAAAATAAATAATATAATTTAAAAAAAAATTATGAAATAAAAATATATATAATTTAGATGTATTTTTGAGATGGAAAAATGCAGTTTTACAAATGTTAGAAACGTGGCTTTCAAAGGAAAGATTGCTATCAAATAGCACACCT